TAAGTCTCTTCAGATTTTTTTTTTTTTTGATTGGGACTCTGTGCTTCCTGGACAACTATTCTTCACCAGGTTAGAGAAGTTTTCTGTCATTTTTCTTTCAAACATGTTCCCCATCCCTTGCTCACTCTCATCTTCTGGAATTCATATGATATACAGAACTTGCTACATTTGTTGTCCCAAAGATTCTTTAGATTTTCCTTACTGCTTTTAAGTTTATTTTTTAAATTTTGTCTTTGAACAGATGCTATCTTGTCTTCTGATTAACTGATTCTGCCCATGCTTCATTTAACCTGTTTAATCCTTCAAATGAATTATTTCAGGCATTGTAATCTTTATTTCTGACTGATTTTATTTATGGTTTATATATATAAACAATATATATTATGTAGCATTATACTAAATCTATATTTACACAAACATAGTTAACATATATTTAATATATAAAAATACATATTATATATAATACCTATTATATATATTGAATGCTTACTATTTCATTATTTAAGTTCATTAAGATCATCCATTCTTTACTTGAGGACTTTTAGCATTTTTACAACCATTAGTTTAAATGCTGCCTCTGGTAGTTGGGGTGCTTCTATTTCACCTATTCTCATTTTTTGTGGCAATTTCTATTCTTTGTTTGGAACACTTTTCTTTGTTGCCCTATTTGTTCTCTGTGTGTTGGGTAGGTGTTCTGTTTCCACATTAGTTTGATGATTTCATGATGACTGTCCCTTTGGACTTTGTGGCACAATCTTTCAGATCACCTCTGCCACCCCTTTGCTGTTGAATTTTGAAAGCTGTTGGCTCTTTCACAGGTGGAGTTCTCTCTTCATGCTGGGAGACTATCAAGATAAACCTCAACCACCTTGTGTGAGACACTGTGTAGGGGCTGCCCCTGAAGGCCACATTGTTCTCGGCAGGGTCTGGTGCCTATAGGAATGCCCCTTAGGATGTAACAATTGTGTGGCTAATTAGTTCAAGCTTTGGTGTGGGCTGAAGCCCACAACTAGTTTTGTTTTGCCACTTGTATTGGGTTCAGATACAGTTTTTTTGTCAGCTGTGTGTGAAACCAGCCACGGGGCTACCTGTCTGTAGTTACCAGGCTATTCAATGTTTGTGTCTGTGTCAGCAGGACCTGTTTGTGCATGTGAGGGACTGATTGTATAAAGTAAGATTCTTTCTGGCTAGAGCTGGTGGAAGCTCTGTACAAGAACCATGGCTTCCTGACAACGGCCTTCCTCTTTCAGCCACTCTGCCCCTTCTGAGGTGTCCTGGTTCTCCTTCTGAGCCTTTTGATGACTATATAGAATGAGCCTAAGCCTGTTAAGATAGTGCGAGCAGGTTTCTCATTTGGGGGTCATGCAGTCTGTAGCACTGTTAGTAGGGGAAGAATAGCTCCTGCTCAAAGTCTTCATTTACTTTCTGCCAGACTTCAGCACTTGCTCTTAAGGCGAGCTTTCTGCTGAATCAAAGTTGAAAACAGCCATCTCCTTTGCAGTGAGCCCATCCACATAAACAAACTGATGAAAAAGGTGACCATTTTATGACTTTTTAATTTGAAATATTGCTGATTTTAAAGATTTTGGCTTCCAGATATGCTGCAAACAGCACAGAGTGGGGGTAACTGAGTGGGGTCAATGGGAGATGAAGAGACACATCACAGACAGTTTAAGGAAAATTGGGGACTGGCTGGGACATTGTCCTCTGACAGACAAAGAGCTCTGAACATGGTTTTCACATTTATTTTACAGGAGTTGGTCTGATACAGCTCAAGGATATTTTGCAAACCCAGGGAGATGCTGCAGGCACAGACTGTTCTATTCCCAGGCTATCTAACTGATACATATGTCTTCTTCAATAGTTACAGTCACATTTAGCTGAAGCTTTGAGTTATCTATCTCTTGTTCAACCCCCTGGCAGGTTCCGGCTGTATGACGCCAGCCTTCACTGCCATCTACAAGACATAAGGGAATTTTCCTTTTTTGCACCATTATAAGCAGTATTGAGGCACTTATTTATTGTCCAACTGATTCCTCCAGACTTTGGAAGTTCTGAATGAGTATTATTTTCATGGCAGTATGTTTACACAAGCTCAGTCTGAATGACCTTTTACTAACAGAACACAAAACTCTTGATGAGGCTTTGACTGGAATGGAATGTTAATTCTGAAAGAGATAGGCAAAGACTCTAGATATCATCAGGAGGCTGTAAGAAAGGAATACTGATTCTGGAGCCAATAAAAAGCCCCCTGGCAAAATATCCTGGTTCCTTAATGTTTAACAGTAGTCTTTCCGGGTTAAGGAAGAAAAGTTGTTCTCCTAGGGGATGGCAAAAAAAGAACCTCAAGATATTTTGTGAACCATTGAGAACCAGAGCATTTCACCCAGAGCAAATTGATACATATTAGAGGCAAACTGTGATGGCAACTATGTGGCTTGGCTTGTTACCCTTAACAGGCTAAAGTTCAATGTAGGTATTCCTTATCAAATTACAGCAAATCAGATTTAAAAGAAGCCTAGATCAGTGACCAGTGCTCCTGTCATATTTAAGCAAATTGCAGACCAAATTTACTGGAAGTAAACTTATACAATGAGTAAGTTTTAATTGGCTGTTTCTGACAAAAGGACAATGATTTTAAAAAGGAAAAATTGTTTTAATATAATACATGTAGAATCTGGTCTGCTTATCTTTAAAGTTTCTTTCTTTCTTTTTTACCTATGTACTAGATTGGGCACTACATTTTTCTAAGAAAGTGTCTGCAGTACTCCACTTTTTTGTTTCTCTTTCCTTTCCCTGAAACTACAAGAACAGTAAAATAATATATAAATTTTGGAGTAATCTACATGGTTGGAGGGAATGTACTCTAGGAATCCAAGTAAGTCTAGATACCCACTGAAGGTTATCTGCCATGCCTGCCTAATTCCTGTCTTCTACTCCAACAATTATTTGGTCCATGCGGATTTAACTGTCTTACAAAGTTAGTATCTTTCAGGCTTCAGCAGTTTCATGTAAAAGTGTTGGCAATACAAAGCTTCCAACCAGTTCCCCACACTAAACTGTTGAATGCTGTACTCTATATACCCCTTAGTTTAGTGGCAAGAGATTCTATTACTCCTAGGATTAGGGATACCTAACTCAGCAAAAAGCAGTTTCAGAAGCAGCAAGATTAAGGAGGATAAAGTTTCAGGGTGGAGGGGTAGGGGTGACAGGCCTAGCCCCTCTTAAAAAAAAATTGAAATGTCCTTCAGGTATGTTAAAGCCTCTCCTATGTAAGCTTAAATTTTCTCTTCAGGCACTCTGCAAAGAGTTCTGCTCTGTGCCTGCACCAGGTGATGTCTGATGCCAGTGAAAACCTGAAAAGGAAAGAGCATCACTCTATACCTTTGTGAAGAACTGAGCCCTGTAAAAGCAAGACCCTGGCAGCAATTTGGCAAACCATATTCTTCATTAGTGTGTGCTCCCTGGATACAAATTCCCTGCCTTTTTCCTTTCTCTCCATCTTGTTTTTAGTAAATCTCTTCTTTTGAATGTTTTGCCTCTTCTAATTTAGAGTGAAGGCATTAAAATCCAGAACAAATCAACATTTATAAGGTGAATATCTTAACTACTTAGTTTCTTTTATGGACTGCATATTACCCATATTATAATGGAGATCACTTAAAAACCAATTTTTATTGTTTAGTAAGCACTTACCAGTCTCAAACCAACAAATGTCACACAGTGAAATTCAAGGTTAATCAGTCAATAGAAAGAAAGCTACTAGGAAAATAATTAAAATTTATATAAGAATAAAATGTGCCCTGGTTGGTGTAGCTCAGTGGATTGAGCGCGGGCCTGTGAAGCAAAGGATCACGGTTCGATTCCCAGTCAGGGCACATGCCTGGGTTGCAGGCCAGTTCCCAGTGGGGGACACATGAGAGGCAAACACACACTGATATTTCTCTCCCTCTCTCCTTCCCTTCCCCTCTCTGAAAATAAATAAATAAAATATTAGAAAAAAATAAAATAAAATGTGATTGCATGTTTCCTCTATCACTTGAACCTAGGGTGTTTTACCTTAAGCTCTTTCTACAGAAGACACTCTTCTTTGATCATTTGTGTATGTCAACTTTTGTACAATTGGTTTACCAAGAAACACACTCAGCAGCCATGACCCTCATTTTATTAAAAACGATCAAATACAAAGAGCTTTACTTCTATGTAAAAGAGTCTGCAACACAATGCAACTGATAGAAACTGAAACTTAAAATGGAATAATCTGGGAAAGGAGGAGGAAAAAAACAGTACACTTTTTAGCACTTTAAAGCAGAAAACAAATTTAAAAATAAAAGCAGTTTGATTAATGCCTAAAAAATCATATAGATTATTAATAAGATCCAGTAAGATTCATGAAAGAATCAGTGAATATTATCTATAGAAATAGTTACCTGTAAGTGAGTAAACAGCAAAACACACAAAATTAGTCAGTCTGGCAAAGATTAAAATAATCTGGATTGTAGAGTCAGCAAAGCATATTGCTGGTAAATTTCTTGTTGTCTAGTAAAATGCAATTTAGAAATACTTTAGTGTTATGTCAGTTAATGGAATTTTATCCCAAAGAAATGACGTTAAATTATTTGAAGATCATAGGATTCTTTAATAGTGCAAAATTATAAATAAGTTTGATATATATAGAGATGTGTCAAGTAAACTGACAGCCACGATGTAAATAAAATCAGCTAAACAGATGGGCTAATAAAATGTGATGAAGCACTGTATGTGTAAAAATAAAAATCAGTTATAATCTTAACTATATTTAAGAAAATGTGTACATATCCATAAGAAGAAAAAAGTTTAAAGAAATACTCAAATGCTGATTCATTTCCAAGGGTTAGAATTACAAGTTGTTTAAACTGCTTATGGTTTTTAAACAGTATTCATCTACACATCTCAAACTATTTATCCCTTCTGAGTTCAGAGCCTTCTCTCCAACTACTGTATTGGCCATAATAAATAGTTTATTTGGAGCTGGAACTTGAAATAGTTCTCTCTTTACTGCCTGACCTCCTCCTACCAGAATTCCTGTGTCTAGAGAAGCTAATGTGGTGATTCTGACGGCTCTGGCTCTCTCTACTTAGGCTGCCCTGACTATGGCCACAGTCTCTTCGTCTTTCTCTACTTTGTGAACTATACCTTTCACGATTTTCTGCCATGTGTTTGTGAGATTTCTTTTCCCTACGACTACTTTTCTTCTGGGTTGGACTGGGGCTTCTCCTCCTCCTGGGCCTGCCATAGTACTCATCACGGTGGCCCATCCTCTCTCTTCTCTCTGAGTTCTTGCCGAAGGAAGAGCTGGACCAATTTGGAGATAGGTAGATGTCCCGATTCGCTTCCCAAAATTCATTGTTGGGATTTCTGAACACGTGAAGAAAGTTGCAGTGTTTTCCTCTTGGGCATTGTTCTATTTCAAATAAGCCTGCAATGGCACAATTAGGAAATGGCATTTATGGCTGGTACTTTGTATCAGTTTTAGAAAGTTCAGTGCTCATGTTTACATATGTCTGAAGTATTTTCTACTGCAAGCCATTCAAAAAAATTCCAATAGTTAAATAAATGACATTCTTAAAGGTTAAAAAATAAAAAAAAATTAAAAACAAACACTGTGCCATTTCTCTACCGATTTTTGGTTCAGAATACAACTGAACAAATGGCAGCCACATAATAATATAATTTTTTCTGGGTGCCACCATCACTAAAAATGAAAGACAGTGCAGATCCCTCATTAACATTCTTGAACTAGTGTTTGGTGGCAAGCTTTGTGTGCACAGTGATGGCAAGACAACTACTGACCAAAAGAAAGAGCCTACTATAGATGGAGAAAACTGTATTTTTTATACTTAAAAAAAGATAACAAACAATACCCAAATGTTTTAAAGTTATCAAGTTCTTTAAATACAAAAGATTCTTGACAAATAGAAATCTACTTTAATAATCCTTCTGAGGCTTTCAAACATTTTGAAAAGCAAAGTCAATTCTCCAAATTATGTGAAATAATTAAATGTGAAATACTTTCCTCCCTGACATTAGTCAAAACTTAACTTAAAAATGAATAATTATACACCTATCTGTAAGCACTAAAACTCCTTAAAGAGTACATATAAGTAATGGTTTCTTGGTTACAGTATATAAGTCACAATGAATGAAAAACATATAAACTTCAATTTACTAAATTTAAAACCTTCTGTGCCTCAAAAGATACCATGTAAAAAGTAGAAAAAAATAAACCCATGGCAAGTGAGAATATGTGCATACCATACATCTGTGGTTAGACTGACTTCTAGAATATTTAATGACCATTTACAGGTCAATAATAAAAAACAACCCAATTAAAAAATAAACTTCCAGGGCTGACATTTTTCCAGAGATATAAAAATAACCATTAGGTAAATGTAAATTGAAACTATAATGAGGGGACTTCCGGCCACAATGGAGGCATAGGTAGACACACTGTGCCTCCTCACACAACCAAAATAAGGACAACAACAATTGAGAAACAAAACAGCAACCAGAACCGACAGAAAATTGAACTGTATGGAAGTCCAACAACCAAGGAATTAAAGTAGACACGTTCATCCAGATCGGTAGCAGGGGCAGAGTTCGGCAACCGGGCAGAGAGGAGATGTGGCCAAAAAAAGTGGTGGCACCGAGCATGCAAGGCAGCAGACAAACCCCTGGCGCTCAAAACGGCAACAGGCAGACCCTGGGCATCCAGGCGATTGTGAAGCAAAGCATGGCACCCAAGGCAGCTGGTTCACCAGGCAGTCCCACATTCACACGCAGATAAGCCAAGTGAAACCGGGGAGCAAGACAGACTGCAAAACCCAGGATCCCCGTGCAGGGAAATAAAGCCACAAAACACTGATTGAAAAAACTTTTGGTGGTGGGAGGGACTCCCAGCCTCACAGGAGAGTTCATTGGAGAGACCCACAGGGTCCTAGAAGGTACACAATCCCACCCACATGGAAATCAGCACCAGAAAGGCCCAGTTTGCTTGGGGGAAGCAGTAGAATGGACTGAAATCCAACAGTGAGTAAAGCAAGCTCCATTTTTCCCACTTGGACCTGGCCCCCACATACAGCATCACAACCCAGTGACTGGGTTGCCCCGCCCTGGTGAACACCTAAGGCTCCACCCCTCATATGTAACAGGCTGTCAAGACAAAAAAAAAGGGGCCCAATGGAAGAACAGATTAAAGCTCCAAAGCAAATAAATCTAAGCAATGAACACATAGCCAACCTATCAGATGCACAGTTTAAAGCACTGGTGATCAGGATGCTCACAGAATTGGTTGAATTTGATGGCAAATTAGATGAAAAATGAAGGCTACGCTAAGTGAAATAAAGTAAAATGTACAGGGAACCAATAGTGATGGGAAAAAAAACTGGGGCTCAAATCAATGGAATGGACCAGAAGGAAGAAACAAACAACCAAAGAGGAAAGAATGAAGAAACAAGAATTCAGAAAAATGAGAGACTTAGGAACCTTCAAGACACCTTGAAACGTTCCAACATTTAAATTATAGGGGTGTTGGGGAAGGGGAAGAGGAAGAGCAACAAGTGGGAAAGTTATTTGAACAAATAATGAAGAATTTCCCCAATCTGGCAAAGAAAATAGACTTCCAAGAAGTCCAGGAAGCTCAGAGAGTCCCGAAGAAGTTGGACCCAAACAGGAACACACCAAGGCACATCATAATTACGTTACCCAAGATGGAAATGAAAACAAGAATCCTAGAAGCAGCAAGAGGTAAGGAGACACCAATCTACAAAGCAGTTCTCATCAGACTGTCAGCTGATTTCTCAAGAGACCTTATAGGCAAGACAGGGCTGGAAAGAAGTATTCCAAGTCATGAAAGGCAAGGACCTACATCCAAGATTGCTCTATCCAGCAAAGCTTTTATTTAGAATGGAAGGGCAGATAAGGATGTGCTTCTCAGATAAGGTCAAGTTAAAGGAGTTCATCATCACCAGGCCCTTATTTTATGAAATGTTAAAGGAACTTATCTAAGAAAAAGAAGATAAAAAACATGTATAGTACAAGGATAGAAAACTCACAATTATGAACAACCACACCTAAAACAAAAACAAAAAGAAACTAAGCAAACAACTAGAACAGGAACAGAACCACGGAAATGGAGATCACATGTAGGGTTAGCAGCAGGTGAGTGGGAGGAGGAGAAGGGGGGAGAAGGTACAGAGAATAAGTAGCATACACAGTAGGTAGAAAATGGACAGGGGGGAGGGCAAGAGTAGTGTGAGAAGTGGAAAAGCTAAAGAACTTAGGACACCTGGACATGAACTAGAGGGGGAGGAACGTGGGTGGGAGAGGGTTTGCACGGTAGAGGGGAATGAAGGGGGGGGATGGGACAACTGTAACGATATAGTCAATAAAATACATTTACAAAAATTAAAAAAGAAAAACTATAATGAGATTACATGTAACACCTAGTAGGATGGGTAAAATTAAAAAGACATTTTTAGTCTTTTAGAGAGGTAAAGAACCTGAAATTGTACCCTCCAGTTAAGTGACAAAAGTAATCACTTTATTTATTTAGTTAAATTCTCATCCACAAATATGTTTATTGACTTGAAGAGAACGAGAGAGAGACAGACAGACAGACAGACAGACATTAATTGGTTACTTCCCTTATGTGCCCTGACCATGAATCAAACCTGCAAGCTTTTGGTGTATGCCCCAACAAACTAAGCCACCCAGCCAGGGCAAAAATAACTTCTATGTGGAGAAAACAATTTTACCATCTTCATCTCATAAGTCTTTAAACTTAATTTGAAATGGTTCTTCCAGGGTTCTCATAGAATCTCTTTCTCACCTTGCCAGTATAATATACTTTTAATATGACAGCATCCTGTCCTAGCTGGTGTGGCTCAGTGGATTGAGCGTGAGCCTGCAAACCAAAAGGTCACTGGTTCAATTCCCAGTCAGGGCACATGCCTGGGTTGCAGGCCAGGTCTCCAGCAGGGGGTTTGCAAGAGGCAACCACACAGTGATATTTCTGTCCCTCTGTCTCTCCCTTCCCTTCTGTCTAGAAATAAATCAGTAAAATCTTTTAAAATGACAGCAGCCACTTGACACACCTGGGTAGGCCCAGAAAATCACCAGAATGCCACTGGGGGAAACTGCCTGCAGACCCTACTCTGGAAAAACAGATGAAGGTTAGAGTCAGGGGTTGGCCTATCCAGCATAACAGGATGCAGCTTTAACTTGAGCCTGCACCCAGCAACAGCACTACCCATCAAACTCTGATACCCTTCACAGGTTTTTGTGTTTAAAAAACCTGACCTAAGTAAGAACAACCGAGTGAGTCCCAACCTCCCTTGATTGGCTGTACTTTCCCTCACAGAGTCTTCACCTCCCTAGGTTGGCTCCACTTTCCTTCTTATTCCCCACTAATAAATCCTGCTCCTTAGCTCGCTACATCCGTCTGGTTTCTTGAGTGACTCTGACCTAACACCACTGAGGAAGATTGGTACACATCACTTAGATCACTCACCCCTAAGTGAGTACACATAAAGTGTGAATCATTTTATACATTTTTAATAACTGATCATAAAGAAATTCTGTACAAAGCAAACATAAAGAAAAACAGAAATTTCCTCTACAGCACTACAGCTTCATCTTTTTTCACCTGAGGCTTTAAGAGTTCATTTTTCATTTTTCATTTATTTATTTATTTTTATCTAATTAGCTTTAAGAGTTTATATAAGCCCATCTGATAGAAATTTAAAAATAGTAAGGCCAGCAAAGAACTGACTCATTTCCTGCCCTGGCTGGTGTAGCTCAGTGGATTGAGCGCAGGCCTACAAACCAAACAACTGTGGTTCAATTCCCTGTCTGGGCACATGCCTGGGTTGCAGGCCAGTTCCCAGCAGGGGGCACACGAGAGGCAACTATACATTGATATTCTCTCCCTCTCTCCTTCCCTTCCCCTCTAAAGATAAGTAAATTAAAAAAAAAAATTAAGGGAAAAAAAAAAAAGAACTGACTCATTTCCTGATTTTGTGATGACTATCCATGAGTCAATCTCATTAAAATCACCCGTAACACATCATACACCTACAAGTAATCTCTACACTAAAAAAATAGTTATCTCATATAAGATGAAAATATTACATAATGACATGACAGAAAATGATACAAAATCATTAAGCACAAAGGTGGGAAGCAAAAACATTCCAAGTGAGAGGAATCAATGAGTAGAAAAAAACCTTTAGAACTGTCATAAGTACAACATAGCTTCTTCCAATTTAGAGTTTAGAACTTACTACTATCAAAGTTCATATGAGACACTTCTGACTGTTACCAGTTTGTTGGACCTCTGATACTTCATGGATAAGATGAACCAAAATATGATTCAAATTAAGATTAAAATACAATTCTGCTCATGATGAGAAATATTAAAACTATGCATAGAGACTTTTTTACACCCTTGAAAAGAATGTTCTTTTTTTAAACCAGTAAGAATATCCCCTTGTAATACAGTGAAATAATAAAGACAATCATCACATTGTATTTTACCACAAATTGCTGTTTTCCACCAGGTCACTGGGCAGAATTCACACCGAAGTTGTCGCCCTGCATACCATCGTCCGTTAAAGAGAGAAAGGGCTGCTTGGCATTCTTCTTCTCTTTAAACCACAAATTAAAGGATATATACTTTAAAATTCTAACATACAAATTAACCGTATTATTAATTAACCCCTTTATTAATTTATTATAGGGCCACTAAGTCAATTATCTTTATACTACAGAGGGAGTTCCTACTGCAGCATTCAAGCTCCTAAAGCTCAACATATATTCTGGGACACGTTTAATACCCTATGATATATTTTGATGGATGAAAACTGCCTTTTAAATTCAAGAGCTGATCATTGAAAAATGCAGTTTCCACTGCTAAAGCCTGTTTTTCTTCAACTACAATTACTGACCTTATTTAGAATGAAAAACTTAACCAGTTATGAAATAGTCTAATACCAACATTAAGCAATAATACACACTAACTGTTTTCTTAGCTGGCTACATAAACCTAAGTTTTTTCTGGCTTCAATCTCTAGCACTTCCAATTTTTACTTCTATATTCTCTATTTTAGATATTCTTTCCTCAGCATTATCATATAATCATATAGATAAGCAAATCATATAGATAATGACTAGAGAAAAGGATTTAAAAAGATATATATGTGTGTATTAAATCCAGTATGTTTTGTGTATTAATCCAGCTCATCACCTTTAATTTTAAAAAATATTATGTTTATAAAAGATGTAAATTCAGTGAATCCAGAAATTAACATAAAGAAATAAATATACTTTAAAAAATATGAGGGCTTTTACGTTCAGAATACTTACGATTGATACTGAGCATACACATTGCCCCTCAGGTGAGGTTCCAGGTTGCAGCTGACCTAAGGAGAAATGAAGAATTCTACCATTAAAAAAATAAGTAAAAGGAAACCAATTATCAAACCCACTTTGTCCAGGTTAGCATTACCAACATAGAGATACCAGACTACTTGTGTGTATTAAAGATACACTTCAGCACATAAAAGGATGGACAGCCCTAATTATCTGATCTTTCTTTATTGGGATTTTAAAAAATAAGTAAAATGTCACAGTTTTATTTTCTTATAAAAGCTGTAGCCCTTTCATCTCATTAGTATCCCTCCTCTATAGGTTAAGTACTACTCCAAAGTTTGTTATATTCTCTGAATTCCAAACACAAATATACATATACATGTATACATAAAACATACATAGGCATATATAGATGTGTGCCATACTATATACACTTGTATGACACACACAAATTTGTTTACATATCTGAACATACTTATTTACAAATATATACGTAAGAAAAATGTGTCAACTGAAAAATTTATGTAGTTCTGCCTTATATGCTTAAATATTTTTTATTTTTTTGTATTAGTTTCATGTATACAGCACAGTGTTAGACAATCATACACCATACAAAGGATTCTCTCCATTCCAGTGGTCACAATATCATTACTATATTTCATATGCTGCATTTTACAGACTGTGTCTATTCTGTTAACTTCCAATCTGTACTTCTTAAACCCCTCACCTTCTTCCCAGTGGTCTAGATTCAATTTTTTGCACATATCTTCAATTTTCTCAGCACCATTTACTGAATAGACTGTATTCACCCCATTTCAATAAAAAGAATACCATACACTTTTAAAGACTGAAATAAAAAGAACTCTACTGTATGCTGATTGCATGAAAAGTATCGTTTATTTTATTTATCCACTTCACTAAAAATGGCTAAACAAGTGCTTTCAGTTTTTCATCAATAAACAGTGCTCTAGTTAGTAACCCTGGGAGTATATGAGGATTTTTCTAGCATTTATCACCAGAAGATGCACACCAAAATGTAAGTTGCATGTCAAATTAGTCCATGAAGTGGTTTTACTGATTTAAACATCTTCATTCATTTTTGAGATTGATAAGATTCTTGTCTGGAAGGTGTACAAATATATTTTAACATGAAATAAACTAGAACATTTAGAATCTGCACTCAAAAATGATAAAAATGGTGTGTGTATATATAGCAGGAGAAAAACTTTCAAACATCCACAGAACAGTTTACCCCTTTTTCCAAAATAATTTTGTAATTTTATAATTTTTCTCTAAAGTAGTTTTACTACAGTAACCTAAGTGGAGAGGGGAATAAAAAGATCCATAGTAACTATGAATGAACTATACTAAGTAAGCTTTATAACACCATCCTAACAAGAAACAGTAAAAGGCCTCACGAGATCTAGGCAAGGGACATTAGAGATGGTTTTGCCCCATTTTACCCTGATCCCAAGGACCTGTTATTAATTTCTTACACTAAATTAACTTCTTTGTAAATTTTCTGTACTAAAAATTTACTATGTAGTCTCCCATTATAACTGCCAATTTGATTAGCCCAAGATTTTCAATTAACATAAGAAGTACATAAACTATACTATTTACCTAAAATGTGAGGGGCAGGGGAGCAACAAATGTGAAATTTAGGAATGCTAATAAGTTAAGTTTTACCATTTTAAAACAGGGCATTGGAATTGTAAGGTATAATATACCTTACATACAAGGTATGTAGTAGCTGCACAGAACATACTAAAGATGCTAAAGCATACTGACAGAAAAACTGGTCAAATCAGAAAAGAATACAACCAGAAGAAGAGACCAGTCTACATAACAAATCAGGAAACAATGAATTTAACAGCAACAGTTAAGTCCTTACAATCTCAATAATCACTGTAAAGGTAAACAGAAAAAATTTTCCACAAAAGATGTAAAATGGCCGAATGAATGAAAAGAGACCAAACTCATAACTCTATAATTGTTTTTATAAAAATATAAAAACAATTAAAATTTAACAAACAATTTGAATATACATTTTTCCAAAGACAGTATTCAAAAAGATATTCTATATCATTAATTATCTAGCAAATTAAAACCACAATGAGATATAATCTCATACACGCTGGACTGGTTGTTATCAAAAAGACCAAAACCAGGAAGCACTGGTCAGAATGCAGAGAGAAAGAAACCCTGTCTCATGCACACTGGTGATTTAATTAGTGTAGAAAATAGTTATTTGGGATACTGAAAAAAATTAAAAATAGAACTATCATGTTTTCTCTACTTCTGCACAGTTGTGCAAGATGCATGTTTTGGTGTGTTTCAGATCTGGCATTATGCCCTGGCCGGGCAGCTCAGCTGCTTTAGAGCATCATCCTTATATACCAAGTCTGTGGGTTTGACCCTCAGTCGGGGCATATACAAGGATCAACCAATGAATGCAACAATAAGGTGATCAATGTTTCTCTTTCTCTTTTGTGTTAAAGTCAAGAAATACAATTTTAAAACCCCAAGAATCAGCATTGTTTGTGGATGTGTAAAAGAGGTTAGCAATGCTTTACAAGATATGCTAAAGACTACCTTTCTCATCAATGACTTAGCATGAGGAATTTGTGCAGTGGTCAAGACTTTAGGCAAGTGCCAAGCCCATTTTATGTGCTTGCATGTAACTGTGATGAGCATGTCAAACTGGTGGAGAACCTTTGTTCTGAGCACCAGATGAATCCAATTAAAGTTGATGAGACAAGAAACTCATCAACAGGGAGTGTTTAGGCCTCTGCAAATGTGACAGATGAAAAACCCTGTGTAGACAGATGAAATACCCTGTATAGACATGGCAAAGAGTTTCAGGGAAAGAATGTCATGGAGGAGCACTTTACATGCAAGAAGTGAACAAATAAACTTGGCTTTGCTTCCTAAAAAAATAAAATAAAATACAGTATGACACAACAATTCCACTTCTGCTTATTCATTCCAAAGAAAGTCTAAACACTAATTTAAGAAGATATATGCACCACTGTGTTTCCTATGGTATTATGAAATTGCAAAAATCATGTTTATCTACAATCAGTGGCAAGGAAAATATAATCTACAGTAAATGGATTATGACTCAGCTATACAAAACAATAAAATCTTGGCATTTGTGACAGCATGGGTGGACAGCAGAGGCATTATGCCTGGTGAAGTTAGTCAGAGAAATACATATATTGTAATTATCTCATTTACATGGAACCTAAAAACAAAACAACTCATAGAAAAAGACATAATGTATGTAGTTAACAGATGTAGGTGTTTGATGATGGGGACATTCGATGAAAGTGGTAAAAAGGTAATAAGTACTACAGATAGTGTACACCCTTATGACCATAAGTAACAGTGCTGTATGCTATGTTTAAAAATTGATGAGAGTAAAGAGCTTCTCATTTTGGGGGGTACAGGTAACTGTATGAAACGATGACCATTAACCAAAAAAACAATTTAATTTTTTATTTATTTTAGAGCAAGAGGAAGGGAAGGAGAAAGACAGGGAGAGAAACATCAATGTGTGGTCACCTCTCACGTGCCCCACACTGGGAATCAAACTAGTGACCCCTTGATTGATGGCTTGTGCTCAATCCACTGAGCCACACAAGCCAGGGCCCAAATTTATTATGGTAATCATTCACAACACACATAATCAAGTTATTATACTGAACCTTAATTTTATACACTAATGTATGTTAACTACATCTCAATAAAACTGAACAAAGAAAACATCATAGAGCTTGGACTTTTAAGCAAAAGAAAATTTTAGATAGTGGGTTAACGGTAGAATTTCCATTAATCACTATTAAGTTTTGCATTATAAATACTCCAAAAGCTTGTATAATTTAGAGACTAAAGAAGGAAGACACTGATAATCTTCTGAGGTGAGGAAAAGGACTGACTGGGTAAAATGTTATGTTGTGACGCACAGGCCCACTCCAACCCACACTGACTCCTCAATCTATGTTACTAACATAGTTGTGTTGTGTTAACAGACTGTCCACGTGAGTTTTTATTAATTGTACTGAGAATCAGTGCAAAGATAGGAAGATATACACAACAGAAACAGCAGATCAGAAACAAAAGATAAACTGAAAGAAAAAAATAATGTTTTAAATCTTAAACCCTGTAAATAGGAGTGTTATAAATGGGAGTGTATCACTGACTTAAATGGTTGTATTTACCCTTCAAGGGTTACAATAGTGTTGCTAGTTAGTAGCTTTACTGTACTGTCTGTTCTAACTCTTAAGTGCCATTTCCAACTATCAGAGAACAACCAATAGGTTTCGTTTTATGTTTTTTTTTTAAATTACGTGGCGATCTGTGCTTATTCCTAAGAAAATCATTCATGTTAGAATCTTCTGATCAAATCATAAACAAGGAAGGGGAGTAGAGACAGGAGGGAGGAGGGCCTGGAGGGTTGGGCTGGAACGAGGGTAAAGGGCAGAAAACTGTATTGAACAACAATTACAATTAAAAATAGATTGAAGGGGGGAAGATGGGGACAGAGTAGGAGGGAGCAGATTCCACTTCCACCTACACGTGGGAGAAAAACCTGGCCGATCTACGGAGGAACAGAGTAATAAACAACCAACAGCCCCAGCATATATGAAAATAAGACACCAGAAATTGTAGTGGACACAGAAAAAACAGACAGTAAGGAGATGGCTACAGGACAGTAGGGTCTCAGGGACCAGTGTGGAGACAGAAGTGGTGGCAGCCTTGGCCCGGCACCCAATGCCCGGCGGTTCTACCAGGGACTCTCTGGGAGCCCTGGGCCTGCCAGGGACTTTGGGAGAGAGCCAGTTCATCACCTCCCTCCCTCCCCAGCTAAGCAAGGTTTGGGCAACATCTAGGGAGACCTGATTGCTTGAAGCTGCAGAGAGGGGAATAAAGACAAAGGGCTGAGGTCACCTGCTGAGTCTGTGGTTGCCAACTCGGGAGCACTGAGAGGCTCAGTGTTGGGCTCTGACTCCAGTGGTCACCAGTCTAGGCTGGAGAATTCATCTGTAGTGAGTGGCAGGCTTTCTTAAGGAGGAATTTCTAAAAAGGTAAACTGAAGGATTCTCCTTCGACAGCACTTGGCCTGCTCCCCACCCAGCCTGGCAGTGATCCTGAGGTTGGACGGAAGGCCTTGTGTTCCCCTACAGAACTGGGAAGGGTTCGCTGGTCCCGCAGGACCAGGGAAGCTTGGATGGGCACCTGTGCTCACACCCCAGCCCACATAAATGAGCCCTGGGGGAAGGAGTGCTCTGAAGAGGATCTAGGTCCCCTTTGTGGGATACTAGGGAGAGTCACCAGACTACCTCTTGAAAGAGTAGTCGCAGAAAGGCCATACCCATCGCCCCTTAGCCTGCTGCAACCAGCGAGACCAGAAAAAACAGTTTGTCCAGTTTGAAAGCAGTAATAGATTTTCTTTTATTTAAAAAATTAAAATCTAATTCTAAAATTTAAAATCTTTTATTTTCTAAATTTTATTATTGTTTTATCTTTCAATACCTTTTCCCTCTCTTCTTTCTTGTTTTATTCCTTCTTCCTTTCTTTCCAAATTTATAGCTTCTTCTTCTCTTCTCCTGCCTTTTTTTTTCTTTCACCCACAAGTGAGACAAACAACTTGGAACTGCCAAAAGACCAGAGTTGAAGCCAAAAAGGAGGAACCCCAACAGTAGAGACGGAGAGACAAATTTCACTTTGCTACAGCAGAGAAGCCACAAGTTGCTGCATATCTGTACTATCTTTTTTCATTATTCTTACATCTTTTCTTTTAATAGCATCTCTGTATTCCTCCTCTTTCTGTATAGGATTCTTTGCCTTGGCTGGTTATATGTATCATTTGACAGGTTTCCCCTGTTCTCTCTTACACAGTGTATTGCTAATTTTCTATATTTCACGTCAATATTCACATCAGTATTTTCTACACTTTGTGTTCCCTTAGCAGACTACTCAAAGTTCTATACCCCCTATTCATGTTATTCAGATTACATAGATTTTGTCATATGATTGTAGCTCTAATACTATTGTAAATAATAGCTGTTCTATACAACTGTAAATATTTCACAACACCCTGCACGAATCTTAGCCCATTTCACAATTTCCTGAATTCTATTACTGTAGTGGTTCACTTTATTCTCTCACACATTACACCTGATATTTACTATCCTTTACTCTCACCTTATCTCAGAATCTGACTTCCCACAACCTCACTGCTATCTACATCCAACTCACAAGGCTTCCCTCCCCAACAACAGTCTTAATCTTCTGCCTATTCTTTCTTAAAAGTGGCTAGTTGGGATGAAGATTACAGTTAGCACTATACATAGCCTAAAGATCTCCTATCTCTTTTCTACTGGCTGCTACTGTAAATATCATAGAACACTCTCCTGCTGTCATAAACCATTTTACCTCCCCCTCCAACTGATCTCACACACACACACACACACACAAAAAGTAGGGGAAAGCGGTGAACACCAGGATACCCACTGGAAAAGGAAACCCAACGATAAGGGAAAAACCAACAGATAACAACAAAAGAAGGTGAAGGAGGAAGTGGAAACCACACAAACCTCAATCCAAGACCTATCTGGAAATATAAGTAAATACTGTTGAAACCCACCCAGTAGGAAGGTATCTTGTTCAGTACAAAGAACTGAACAAGAGCAATAGAGAATCCTCAAACCTTGTACACACGGAAGAACTAGCTTGAACACAACATGCCCTCACCAATAAAACAAATTAAAATAGGTGGTGGACAGAGGGACCATCAGTTAAGAAGCTGGTGGGAAGGACCTACAAAAGAAAGACCCCAAAACAACCACAACCCAAAGTCAAACACAGAGCCAACTTACAGGACATTCCAAGACTAGTGAGCTTAGGAGATTAAGGAGACTACACCACTGAATCTCACAAGTATTATACCACAAAAGTTTATATCATAAATCCAGGAAGCCAGAACAAATCAATTTAAGAGGCTGAAGCTAGCAAGAGGAGTCTCACAAACAATGGGAAGACAAAGAAAATATTCCAAATGAAAGAAGGAGAGGGAGCCTCAGAAAGAATGCTAGATGAAACAGATGCAGTCAACTATCAAATATTGAATTCAAAGCACTGGTTATCAGGAAGTTCAAAGAGCTCATAATGAGCTACCAGAAACTACAGGGGGACTATAATGAACTCACTGAAAACTGTATCAACATGAAAAAGTAAATGGAAACAATCAGCAAGGGGCAAGAAGAAATGAAGAACACAATTTCTGACCTGAAGAACAGACTGGTAGGATTGATGAAGCAGAAGATCGAATCGGTGACTTGAAGGACAAAGTAGAAAAAAAACACCCAGAAAGAGCAAGAAAAGGAAAAGAGGCTCGGTCAGAAGGAATGAAGAGGGGTTAAGAGAAATGCAAGACGATATGAAACGTAATAATATCCGAATAGTAGGATACCAAAAGGAGAAGAAGAGCAAGGGATAGGAAATCTATTTGAAAAAGTAATGATAGAAAACTTTCCAATTTGTTCAGAGAAAAAGTCACACAAGTCCAGGAAACACAGAGAGTTCCAATCAAGAGGAACCCAAAGAGGCCCACTTTAGGACACATCATTGCTAAAAGCCAAAATTCCAAGACAAAGAGAGAATCTTAAAGGCAGCAAGGGAGAAACACAAAGTAACATACATGGGAGCCCCAATATGGTTAACTGCTGACTTCTCAATGGAAACTCTCCAAGCAAGAAGAGAATGGCAAGAAATAGTCCAAGTAATGAGAACCAGAGGGCTGCAATCAAGGTAAAGGCTACTTTACCCAGCAAGGCTCTCAATCAAGAGAGAAGGCCAAGTAAAGAACTTCCAAGACAGAAGAAGTCTAAAAGAATACGCCTCCAGTGAACCAGCTATACAAGACATGCTAGAAGGACTGCTTTAAGGGAAAAGAGAGAGAGAGAGAGAGAGAGAGACAGGGAGGAACACAGGTACAAAAATGGCAATGAGTAAGAACCTATCAATAATCATCTTAAACAAAAATGAATTAAATGCTCCAATCAAGAGCCACAGAATAGCTGAATGGATAAGAAAGCATGACCCACACATATGCTGCCTACAAGAGGCCCACCTCAGGAGGAAAGACCCACACAGACTAAAAGTGAAGGACTGCAAACAAATTTGTCAAGCATACATATATGAAAAGAAAGCTCAGTTAGCAATACTTATATCAGACAAAATAGATTTTTAAAAAGACATCCAGGAGGTCACTTCTTAATACTAAAGAGACAAATCCATCATGAGGACATAAACATTGTAAATATATATATATATATATATATATATATATATATATATATATATATATATATATATATATACTCCCATATATATATATATATGTGTAACATACATACACACACACACACACACACAACATAGGAGCACCCAAATACATACAGAGAAGCTTGAAGGACTTCAAAAAATATATTGACAGCAACATTTATAGTAGGAGATGTTAACACTCCACTGTCAAAATGGACAGATCTTCCAAACAAAATATCCACAAAGATGTTACAGCATTGAACAATTCCCTAGATTAAATGGACTTAACTGATATATACAGAACCCTTCATCCCAAAGAAACTAAATACACATTCTTTTCAAATGCACATGGAACATTCTCAAAGACAGACCACATGATAGGACACAAAACACCCTCAAAAAATCCAAGAAGATTGCCACTTCATATCAAGTGTTTTCTCTGACCACAAGGGACTGAAATTGCAAACCAACCCCAAAGGGAAAAACCCAAAACACTCAAAATCATGGTCACTGAATTGCACGCTTTTAAACAACAAAGGGTCGACAATGAAATTACAAAAGAAATTATAAACTCTCTGGAAAAAAATTAAAGTGAACTCACAACAACCCAAAACTTACAGGACACAGCAAAGGCAGTCCTGAGAGGGAAGTTCATAGCAATACAGGTTTACCTAAAAAAGAGAGAAACATTTCAAACAAACAACCTAACCCTATGCCTACAAACACTTGAGAAAAAACAACAAACAACAGCCCAGGGCAAGTAGAAAAAATAAAATAACCAAGATAATAGCAGAATTAAATGACATAGAGACTAAAGGACAATTCTAACAACAATCAATGACTCCAAGAACTGGTTTTTTGAAGAGATAAACAAAATAGACAAGCCTTTAAGCTCATCAGGAAAAAAAGAGAGAGGACCCAAATTAACACAATCAGAAATGAAAGAGGAGAGATTACCACTGACCCCACAGAAATACAAAGGATTGTAAGAAATTACTATGAAGAACTATATGTCAAGAAACTTGAAATCCTAGGGGAAATGGACACATTTCTAGACAAATATAATCTTCCAAAACTCAGTGAAGAAGCAGCGGAAAGCCTGAATAGACCAACAACAGCAAATGAAATTGAAGCAATAATCAAAAACTCCCATCACACAAAAGCCCTGGACCAGATGGTTTCACAGGAAAATTCTGCAAAGCATTTAAGAAAGAGCTAACCCCTATCCTTCACAGACTATTCCAAAAAATCCAAAATGATGGAAAACTCCCAAACTCTTTTTATGAAGCCAGCATCATCCTCATTCCAAAACCAGATAGAGATACAACAATGAAAGAAAACCTCAGGCCAATATCGCTGATGAACACAGACTCTTAAGCACAGGTCTGCAAACCAGAGAATCTCAGTTCAATTCCCAGTCAGGGCACATGCCTGGGTTGCAGGCTGGTTCCCTGCAGGCCAGTTCCCAGCAGGGGATGCATGAAAGGCAACCATACATTGATGTTTCTCTCCTTCTCTCCTTCCCTTCCCCTCTAAAGATAAATAAATAAAATCTTTAAAAAAATAAAATAAAATCCTCAACATAATATTGGCAAATCGCATCCAACAATATATCAAAAATATCATACACCATGACCGACTAGGATTCATCCCAGGCATGCAAGGATGGTTCAATAGTCGCAAATCAGTAAATGTAATACATCACATAAACAAAAGCAAAGACAAAAATCACATGATCATATCAATAGATGCAGAAAAAGCTTTTGAGAAGGTACAACACCCTTTATAATAAAAACACTCAGCAAAGTGGGAATAGACGGAGCATTCCTCAACATAATAAAGGCCATATATGAGAGACCTACACCAACCATCATACTCAATGGGAAAAAAACTAAAAGCTTTTCCACTAAGATCAGGAACAAGACAAAGCTGTCCACTTTCACCACTTCTACTGAATATAGCATTGGAAGTTTTAGCTAAAGCAATCAGACAGGAAAAGAAAATAATAGGCATCCAAATTGGAAAGAAGGAAATAAAACTGTCACTCTGTGCAGATGACATAATAATGTACATGGAAAATCCTATAGACTCTACCCAAAAACTGCTCAACCTAATAAATGAATCTGGCAAAACAGCAGGATACACAGTCAATATCCAGAAATCAAAGGCATTTTTATATACCAACAATGAAAAAGCAGAAGCAGAAATCAAGGAAAAAATCCCTTTTGATATAGCAAAAAGAAAAATAAAATACCTAGGAATAAACCTAACCAAGGAGGTAATGAGATGTATACAGAAAACTACACAACACTGAAGAAAGAAATCAAGGAAGACACAAACAAATGGAGACATATGCCATGTTCATGGACTGGAAGAATGAACATGATCAAAATATCCATACTACCCAAAGATATTTACAGATTTAATGCAATACCTATTAAAGTACCAATGACATACTTCACAGACATAGATCAAACACTTCAAAAATTTATATGGAACCATAAATGACCCCGAATAGCAGCTACAATTCTGAGAAAGAACAAAGTAGGAGGGATCACAATACCTGATACCAAACTGTATTACAAGGCCACTGTAATCAAAACAGCCTGGTACTGGCAAAAAATCAGGCACACACACCAATGGAACAGAACAGAAAGCCCAGAAATAAACCCAAGTCTCTACGCACAGCTAATATTTGACAAAGGGGGCGGTAACATAAAATGGAGTAAAGACAGCCTCTTCAACAAATGGTGCTGGGAGAACTGCACAGCTATGTGCAAAAAAAATGAGACTTGAGCACCAACTTACACCATACACCAAAATAAATTCAAGGTGGATAAAAGACTTAAATATAAGCCGTGACACCATTAAAGTCCTAGAGGAGAACATTGGCAGGAAAAGCTCAGATATTTCAAGCAGCAACATTTTTACTGATATGTCCCCTAGCACAAGGGACATAAAGAAAAGAATAAACAAATGGGATCTCATCAAAATTAAAAGCTGCATGGCTAAGGAAAACAGTATTAAATTAAAAAGACAACCAACTGTATGGGAAAATATATTTGCCAATGATACCTCAGACAAGGGGTTTAATCTCCAAAATATACAAAGAACTTACACAACTCCACTCTAAGAAGACAACCAACCCAATTAAAAAAAATGGGAAAAGGACTTGAACAGACACTTCTCCAAGGAGGACATACAGAATATCCAGAGACACATGAAGAGATGCTCAATATCGTTAAGCTATCAGAGAGATGCAAATTAAAACCACAATGAGATACCACTTTACACCAGTCAGGAGGGCTATCATAAACAAAGCAACAAACAACAAATGTTGGGGAGGTTGTGGGGAAAAGGGGTCCTTAGTTCACTGTGGGTGGGAATGCAGACTGGTACAGCCATTATGGAAAACAGTATGGTATTTTCTCAGAAAACTAAAAATGGATCTGTGTTTTGACCCAGCAATTCCACTGCTCAGATTATATCCTAAGAACCGTGAAACACCAATCCCAAAGAACCTATGCACCCCAATGCTCACGGCAGCACAATTTACAATAGCCAAGTGCTGGAAGCAACCTAAGTGCCCATCAGCAAATGAATGGATCAAAAAATTGTGGTACATATACACAATGGGATTCCATCCAGCAGAGAGAAAGAAGGAGCTCCCACCCTTTGCAACAGCATGGATGGAACTAGAAAGCATTATGCTGAGTGAAATAAGCCAGGTGTTGAAAGACAAATACCATATGATGTCACCTTTAACAGGAAGCTAGCAACAAAACAAGCAAGCAAAATAAAAACAAAGACACTGAAGTAGAGGATAAGGGTACAGTGACCAGAAAGGAGAGAGGAGGGAATTTCAGGGGGAAAAGGGGAAGGATTTACAGGAACTAGTGTGAAGGACACATGGACAACAACTAAAGGAGGTGGATGTGGGAGGGAGGTGGGGAGCACTGGGTGGGAGCTGGGATGGGAGTAAAAAAACAGAAAACTCTAGTTGAACAGTAATTAAATTTTTAAAAAGGGAAAAAATAAACCCAAATCGTAAACAAGGCAGGAGGCTTTAGTATGGTAGGATTACAATAATGATCTCTGGGACCAATAGCAATAGACCTGGTTTGACTAAGCTTTTAAGAATATTGTTAGTAACCAGAGGGCAGGTGGGAGTGGACAATGGAAGGTAAAGGAGAAAGGGTTTCCAGGAATATGTATAAAGGACACGTGGACAAAACTAAATGGGTATAGAATCAAGGGTGGGAAGTGGGGATCACTGGGTGCAGGGGAATGTTGCAGAAAATGGGGACAACTTGAACAACAATTAAAAAATAAAACAGAGTATGAAAAAACTACTATGTGCAAGTGGCATACTTCTCCCTCACTCAGTGTTACAAACCACAAATTTTAGATACTATATTCACTATGGAAGTATCCGATGTATAAAAATAATGTAAAAGTACCATGATATATGTTCTAAGCTCCAAAAGGAACAATGTGCAGGTTGCTTGGAAGAGGAAAGCAAGCACTGTCAACACAATGAAATAACAAAAACAGTTTGTGTTATGCTGCAGCTATAGATAAGACCAACTACAAAGGAAGGGAGTGCATTCACCATCATAGACATGTAAATGAATGTTGCATTAACTATTTACATCCTATAAAAGAACTCATAGGATGTAAAGAAGCTGAACCATAAATGTACAGAATAAATAATCCTTTGTAATAAAAACCTCGCATCTAACAAATACATGGTAGTGGTAGTTTATGATTTCATGTTGTACCTATACTATAAAGCAATGAGGAGTGTGAAAAAGAAGGTAAGCCAGTGCCCTGGTTGGTGTGGCTCCACCAGTGGATTAAATGCAGGCCTGTGCATCAAAAGGTCACTGGTTTAATTTCCAGTTGGGGACATGCCTGGGTTGCTGGCCGGGCCCTCAGTAGTGAATGCTTGAGAGGCAACTACACACTGATGTGTCTCTCCTTCTTTCTCCCTCTCTTCTCCTCTATAAAATAAGTTAAAATGTTTTAAAAATGAAGGTAAGTCCTAAAGGGGTAATATTTCTCCAAATGGCTGGGTGGCGGACACTGGGCCAGGCACTGAGCCATCGCACATGCGCCCGCCTAGATGGACAGCCCTTACTCCCCCGTCCCGTCAGGTACTTCAGTAGGGAGTGAACCCGGTTCACTTTCCCCACATTCTTGAACTCAGGGAGCACGTCCTTGTAGAAGTCCAGAAACTGCTGGTAGGTCTCCTCTTCGCTGTACTCCAGGCTGGCGTCGGGGTCATAGTCATCCCTACTGCACTGCTCCATTCCAAACGTTGTGAACATGCTTCTAATGAGGAGCGTGGGACTCGATGTGGGGAAATCGTGTTTACGTGAACACCTGCATAAGAAGCAAAAGTTTACACTCAGCAGCCCAATAGTTACATATTACACATAAAGACCTTGCTCTAAATTCTAAATAGAGACTCTGGAACTCAGATGTTTTGACTTAATTTTAATATAATAAATTTCACTTAGACATCTCATTTCAACACTGTGGAAATAACATTTTTTCTCAAAAAGAGTATATTGATAGTGACAAGCTTTGGTCAGCGTAGCTTAGTTGGCAGCTTTGTTCCACAAAGAAAAAGGTCACTGGTTCAATTCGTGGACAAGACACGTGCCTGCTGTGTGGGTATGCTCCCCTGTGGGGGTGCATAGGAGAGGCAGTCAATTGGTGTTTCTCATTCTCTTTTTCTACCTCTCTACGCCTCTCTCCAAAAAAAAAGAAAAGAAAAGAAAAACATTAACAAACTATGGCGTGTCATTAAAATGTACATTTGGGAATTACTTCCAAATACTTATACCATTCAGCTCCCTTTCAATGAAGTTCAGCAGCCTCTATATATAGGAAAACACAGGGAAAAAAAGTCCATTTAATCCCCAAATTGTGGTAACATGCAGTTACCATATGTGGGACTCTGGAGAGTACTCATCACATATGTGGGAATAATGCATGCAAAGCTTGTGCTTCATTATTTTTGAAAGACATTGTTTCTTTTTCTTTTTAAATGAAGGTCTGTCTTGAACATCAGCATCATATAGATGTTTATTGGCATTGTTTTTCCGACAGCACTCACTCCCTTCCCATCTGCGCCACATTTAGGTAATTTTCACAGTATTTCAAACTTTTTCATTATTTTATTTGTTACGGTAATCTGTGATCAGTAATCGTTGATGTAACTACTTTTATTATTTTTGGGTGCACCACCATGTCCATTTAAATGACAAACTTAATAACTCTATATGTTGTGATGGCTGCACAGACAAGCTGTCTCGTTATTTCTAGCTCTCCTCTGGCCTTTCCATTCCCTGGAACAACCACACTGACCCTATCCATAACCTTGGACTCTGTGAACTCAGCTGAAAGGCAGAGTCACACATCTCTTCCATTAAATCGAAAGCTGGGAAAAATCAAGCTCAGTGAGGCAGGCACGTTGAAAGGGACACATGACTGCCCTAAAACTAGCTGTTTTGCACAAAATGAGTTAGACGAACTCTGAATGCTAAGAGAAAGGTTTTGAAAGAATTCAAGAGTGCTACTCCAGTGAAGACTGGAATGACATGAGTGTGAAAGACTTATTGCTGTAGTTTACTTATTACATGTTATTATAATCAATAAAATTTTATTTTATTTTAATAAATGAGGTTAACCATCATAAAAAACAGGATTGTTTTCTTGTTTAAATGTGGTCAGTGCTGAGCTGACTCAGCTGTACGTGATAATTAGACATAATTAAAAAAGCAGAAAAATTTATCTTGGTTGGTAGTATTACCTGTAAATTGAGATTTTAGAACTATGAAGAAGATATAGTATCATACAAGTTCCCTTCTTGAATACAATACAGAAGGGAACCATACAGTTTCACATTATACACTTACAAATATATTTATTCTTTTCTCTTTTTTAGAATTAATATGACATTTCTTATAATCAGATTTTCAATGGAAATCAGAATTAAAATTATAATTTGTCTCACATGAACTCATTCACTATAAATCTTTACCTACTTTGCTTATTAACATAATAAAGTAAATTATAAAAAGCACAAGTACCCGTAATAGAAATATTTAAATATTTACTGAACCAACAGACATCAATATTTGTTTTCCACACAAATATTTTGTTCTGGATTGTTCAGATAACCCAATCCAGAAGAGAAGAATGACTCAGAGAATAGCAACAACAATGATCATAATGGAAATGCCAGCAAATGCTAAGATAGTATTTGCCTTGTGCTTGGCATTGTTGCATATGCTTCATAAACACTGACTCACTTCAGTGTGAACTACCTTATAGAGGGATAATTGTTTTAATACCCATCTACACAGGATAAAATAAGACAGAAAGAACATAAGTAACTTTTTAAAAGTGACAGCTGTAAAGGTTAAAAACAGGAAGCCTGTTCCTAAGTGTGAGCATACTCAGACTAATTATTCTGAGGAAGAATAACTTCCCTCTCTTCACTAATCTTGTCCTTCAGAGATATCCAGAAGACTGCAGCAATTTGTAAAATTACAGGGGCAGGGGAGAACAATGGAGGAAAAACTGGGACAACTGTAATAGAACACCAATAAAAACACCCAACAAACAGAAACAAACAACATAAATAAAAATATAAGATATTTGGCTAAATAGCCCTCCCATTTGGCTAAAAAATAAAATACAACCTTATTCTGCACGGTGTTTTCTATTAAAAAAAAAAAACAGAATGTTTCCTAAAACATCACTAATGTATTATTCCCCATCAAGGTTGCCCATACAGATTAATGAAGGCCTATGTACAAATCAAAAGGCAGAATGTCTTCATAAAGTTGTGGAAGGAGTCCAATGGACTCACCATCAGAGAACTGGGCTAAGCGCACCTGGGGAACAGATGTTGGTGAGTAAGCAATGGTTTGCAGAGGCGAAGCTACAAAAACATAGCAATGTCAGATTCTTAAAACTTCAAACTTTTGAGGGAGCCTGTGCTTCTCCATAAAAAAAGAACTCCAGATCCTCGATGTTTTCACTCTGTAACTCAGAAAATAAATAAAAAATTTACCTATCTCCGAATCTGCAAGCTCCTGTTTTACTGTAGAATGGACAGTTATCTCGGTCTTTCTCCATTATTCTTAAGTCCATGGGTGGTTCTGGGTTTTGCCATGTGGCAGCAGTTGTAAACTGTTGAAAATAACCAAGACTTGACTGGTGGTTTAAAAATCCATAAAGAATTAAATGTTTAAAATATTTTGGTCAAAAATAAAAACTGATTATTTTAACAATATACACACTTAGGTTGTAGCATGCAATTGAGACTTTACAAACAATTGTGCTGAGACATGAGCTGTGTGTTTCTCTTGGCTCCCAGGCATTGGCAATTATGCATCAGTATGGCAACCAGGAGCAGTCACCAAGGTTTCTCTTTGTCCACCCACTCCAAAAAGGGTCAAAAGACTTGACAGAGAAGCACCACTGAGAGAAATCAAAGTTGTTCTGAAGCAGATAAAACATACTATCATTGGCTAAGAGTGTGTGCTGTTGTTCATCTGTACATTAAGGACGAGAAACAAGTACAGCCCACAGCGGCGATTCGGTACTATTTTTATTCTTCAGTAAACCTTAGTTGCTCTTCTATAAAACAATCACAAAAGTGATTACACATATTCAGACTTGATCTAATAGTTTACTACTAAATTAATGTTACTGAAAACACTATTCTTTTTTTTAACCGGCATTTTTTAATTTAATTATTTCTCAAGTACAGTTTTCTGTCTATTTCTCCCATCCCATCCCACCCCACCCTGTGCTCCCCCACCCCCCCCCCATTTCCACCCCCCCTTAGTTATTGTCCCTGTGTCCTTTATACTTATTCCTCTAAATCCCTCCCCTTTTTCCCCTTAAATTCAAATAGCATATAATCTCACCTTCCACAGGAACCTAAACAACAAAACAAACAAGCAAGCAAAATAAAAACAAAGACACTGAAATAAAGAACAGGGGGACAGTGACCAGAGGAGAGAGGGGAGGGAATTTAAGGTGAAAAAACTATTCTTAAAAAAGGGCAAGGAGGCTGGGAAGATGGCGACGGAGTAAGACGGAGCGGATTCTAGCTCCTCTACTCGTGGGTGAAAATCCTGGCAGATCTATAGAGAAACAGCACAATAAACCATCGGTTACCCAGCATTTATGAAATTAAAAGACCAGAGATTGTGACCGACACTGAAATACCAGACAGTGCCCGTGTCAGCTACAGGAGCTGGGACTCACGCAGCCCCTGTGCCGCAGCCATAGCAACAGGCCCGGGAGCCGGGGAGTCAGGGACGGGAGCCGGGACACTCCAAACCCGCGTGATGGTCCTGGGCGGCAGAGGAGTCAGTTACTGGAGCCGGGACATTCTCGGCCCCTGTGCCGCTGCCGTAGTAACAGGCCTGGGTGCTGGAGGAGGAGGCTACTGGACCCAGGACACTCAGCAGTGATAGGTGACCAACGAGGGGACCAGCGCGAGGACCAGCGTGAGAGTAGGTGGAGACGGAGAACATCAAGATACTTGAAGGAGTCTGCACCACTGAACTTCACAGGTATCATACCACAGAAATTCACACCATAAACCCAGGGTGTCAGAACAGATCAATTTTAGAAGCTGAGACTAACAAGAAGAGTCTCAAACAATGGGAAGACAAAGAAACAATCCCCAAATGAAAGAAAAAGCAGAAACTTCAGAAAGAATGTTAGATGAAATAGGCGCTAATCAACTATCAGATACTGAACTCACAGCACTGGTTATTGTGCGGTTCAAAGAGCTCACAATGAGCTATCAGAAACTACAGGGGAACTATAATGATCTCTCTGCAAACTACACCAACATGAAAAAGAAAATATCAGCAAGGGACAAGAGGAAATGAAGAATACAATTTCCGAATTGAAGAACACAGAGGAAGTTTCAAAAGTAGGATCCATGAGGTGGAGGATAGGATCAGTGAGTTGGAAGACAAGGTAGAAAGAATCTCACAGAAAGAGCAAGAAAATGAAATGAGGCTCAGAAAGAATGAAGAGGATTAAGAGAAATGCAACACAAGATGAAATGTAATAACATCCGAATAATAGGGATACCAGAAGGAGAAGAAGAAGAACAAGAGATAGAAAACGTATTCGAAAGAGTAATGAGAGAAAATTTCCCTAATTTGATGAGAGAAAAGGTCACACAAATCCAGTAATCACAGACAGTCCCAATCAAGAGCAACCCAAAGAGGCCTACTTGAAGACACATCGTCATTAAAATGGCAAAATTCCAAGACAGAGAGAGAATCTTAAAGGCAACAAGAGAGAAAAAAGAAGTAACATACAAGGGAGCCCCAATAAACTTAGCTACTGACTTCTCAATGGAAACACTCCAAGCAAGACGAGAATGGCAAGAAATATTCCAAGTAATGAGAACCAGAGGCCTACAACAAAGGCTACTTTACCCAGCAAGGCTCTCAATCAAGATAGAAGGCCAAATAGAGAGCTTCCAAGTCAAAAGAAGTCTAAAAGAATATGATTCCACCAAACCAGTCCTACAAGAAATACTAAAAGGACTGCTTTAAGGGAAGGAAGGAAAAGAGGGAGACAGAGAGAAACACAGGTACAAAAGTGGCAATGAATGAGTACCTATCAATAGTAACCTTAAATGTAAATGGATTAAATGCTCCAATCAAAAGACACAGTATATAGCTCAATGGATAAGGAAGCATGACCCACACATATGCTGCCTACAAGAGACCCACCTCGGAACAAAAGACCATCACAGACTAAAAGTGAAAGGCTGGAAACACGTTTTCCAAGCAAACGGACAAGAAAAAAAAGCTGGGGTAGCAATTCTCATATCGGACAAAATAGACTTCAAAAAAAGGGCCATAAAGAGAGACCCAGAAGGGCACTTCATTATACCCAAGGGAAGAATCCACCAAGAAGACAATAATATCATAAACATATATGCACCAAACATACGGGCACCCAAATATATCAAGAAAATCTTAGAGGACTTCAAGAAGATATTGACAGCAACACAATTATAGTAGGGGATTTTAACACTCCACTATCAAAAATGGACAGATCTTCCAAACAAAATATCAACAAAGATGCTGCGGCATTAAAAGACACCCTAGAGGAAATGGACTTAACTGATATATATAGAGCCCTTCATCCCAAAGAAGCTAAATACACATTTTTTTCAAATGCACATGGAACATTTTCAAAGATAGACCACATGATAGGACACAAAACGAGCCTCAACAAATTCAAGAAAATTGAAATCATACCAAGCATCTTCTCTGACCACAAGGGACTGATAACTGGAAACCAACCCCAAAGAAAAAAGAACGAAAGCACCCAAAATTGTGGAGACTGAATAGTATGCTATTAAACAAGAAATGGGTCAAGAATGAAATTAGGGAAGAAATCAAAACGTTACTGGAAACAAATGAAAATGATCTCACAACAACCCAAAACTTATGGGACACAGCCAAGGCAGTCCTGAGAGGGAAGTTTACAGCAATACAGGCCTACCTAAAGAAGACAGAAACACTTCAAACAAACAACCTAACCCTATAACTGCAAGAACTCGAGGAACAACAACAAAGACAGCCCAGAGCAAGCAGAAGGAAGGAAATAACCAAGATTAGAGCACAATTAAATGACACAGAAACTAAAAGCACAATTCTAAGGATCAATGAATCCAGGAGTTGCTTCTTTGAGAAGATAAACAAAAGAGACAAACCTTTAAGTAGCCTCATCAAGAAAAGAACAGAGTGGACACAAATGAACACAATCAGAAAAGAAAGAGGAGAGATTACAACTGATACCGCAGAGATGGAAGGGACTGTAAGAAATTACTATGAAGAACTGTATGCCAAGAAATTTGAAAACCTAGGGGAAATGGACACATTCCTAGAAAAATACAATCTTCCAAAACTCAATGAAAAAGAAGCAGATAATCTAAATACACCAATAACAGCAAAAGAAATTGAGGCAGTAATCAAAAACTCCCATCCCACAAAAGCCCTGGACCAGATGGTTTCCTAGGAGAATTCTACAAAGCATTTAAGGAAAAGCTAACCCCTATTCTCCACAGACTATTTCAAAAAATCCAGAAGGATGAAAAACTCCCAAATTCTTTTTAGGAAGCCAGCACTGTCTTAATTCCAAAACCAGACAGAGACACAACAAAGACAGAAAATTTCAGGCCAATATCGCTGATGAACATAGATGCTAAAATCCTCAACAAAATATTGGCAATTCGCATCCAACAATATATCAAAAAGATCATACACCGTGACCAAGTGGGATTCGTCCCAGGGATGCAAGGATGGTTCAATAATCCCAAATCAGTAAATGGAATACATCACATAAACAAAAGCAAAGACAAAAACCTCATCATCATATCAATAGACGCGGAAAAAGCTTTGGATAAGGCACAACACCCATTTAAGATAAAAAACACTCAGCAAAGTGGGAATAGAGGGAGCATTCCTCAATATAATAAAGGCCATACATGAGAGACCTACAGCCAATATCATACTCATTGGGAAAAAAACTAAAAGCTTTTCCACTAAGATCAGGAACAAGACAAGGATGTCCACTTTGACTACTTCTATTCAATACAGTACTGGAAGTTTTCGCCACAGCGGTCAGGCAAGAAAAGGAAATAAAAGGCATCCAAATAGGAAAAGAGGAAGCAAAATGTCATTGTTTGCAGATGACATGATAGTGTCCATGGAAAATCCTATAGACTCTAGCCAAAAACTGCTCAAGCTAATTAATAAATTTGGCAAAACAACTGGTTACAAAGTCAGTATCCAGAAATCAAAGGCATTTTTTGTATACCAACAATGAATCAGCAGAAGCAGAAATCAAGGAAAAAATCCCATTCAATATGGCAAAAAGAAAAATAAAATATCTGGGAATAAACCTAACTAAGGAGGTAAAAAACCCATAAGCAGAAAACTACACAGCCCTGAAGAAAGAAATCAAGGAAGACACAAACAAATGGAAACATATACCTTGTTCATGGATTGGAAGAATTAACATCATCAAAATGTCCGTACTACCCAAAGCAATATACAGATTCCATGCAATCCCTATAAAAGTACCAATGGCATATTTCACAGACATAGAACAAACACTTCAAAAATTTATATGGAAAA